TCTTATACATGCATGGAACGTGGTGTTTGCGAAGTGTGTCAAGTACAAATGTATCTTAAATACATTAAAAATAGGTGGTCACTTTCTTATATTGGAAATAAATAATTTAGATAGAGAAGTTGTTTTTTTTGCGACATATACATCGAGAACTTTTTCGTTCGACCGTTGGAAATTATATATGAGCGAGATTAGTAGGTCAGATACGGTTTTAAAATGGATTTATAGCCACAACTTAAAAGTTATAAGAACTACAAAATAAACTAATATCAGAGAAAATTCTACTGAATCTATCTGTTTAAGTGGTATGTTAATGCCCAATGTATACTACATTTGAGTACTTCCAGCGACTCAATTTTTATCAAACGAGCTGTAATTCTGTTTTATGGTCAAGAATGTCCATACACACAGGGTTGATGGCGCATGCCTCTCTCCTTCCCACAAATTTGAATATTCTTCTCTTCTTATTTATAGTGCAAGCAGAAGTAGAATGGGAAAAATTTAGATCTTACACTTACTGTTTTCCCTTTAGTTTCCTGGTTTGAAAGTTTCTGTTAATTAAAACTTCATAAAAATATGGTTCACTCCCAATCGTAATTTGCACAGTCAAAATTTGTCCCCATCCAAAATTCAATACCTGTAAAAATGGACATCTCCTCAAAAATGTTGATACCACATCTTACGCCACGAAACCTCCTTTTGGGCACCTCTGTGTATCGATGTTTTCTAAGTTGAACAATACCTTAAAAGTGGGGATACATTTCAGTAAAAATTGCAGTACATCCAAATATTTATCTCGGTTTTGCCAGTTATTAAGAAGCTAGAGTTCCTGCAAATTGAATAATAGAGTTGAAAATTTTTATGAGAATTAAATCGCTGAATGACTTACCAACGATCGTGCATGAATCAGGAAAAATGAAGGATTAGGAAATCATTACAATAGAAAACATTGCAAAATCAACTAATATTTAAAAAGTAATGGTGGAATTCGCAAAAAATGTAAGCCCCATGAATTTCTTTCACGTAATTTTATTATTACGTAAATAAGAATTTTTACAACAATTAAATGAAATTTGTATCAGATATTTTTCAAGACTACTTCATTTGCTGTTCAGTTAAAATATATGTTTAATTTATGTGGTGCCTATTTCTCACACATTACAATACTATCACGCACCGAAACCTGTATGTTAAAGAAAAACAATTTTATCCAATAATTCTAAAAATGTGATTGTTGACAAACAATATCTGGAACAGAATGATAAGGATATCGGGCGGTATGTGGTTCTAGGCTAGTCCTTGTCCTTTATTGTTATCTTCTATTATTTTAAAATTAAGATGTATTATAGTTAATGTATAAGATTTTAAGTTATTACTTTAAAATTAAAATGTTACTCCTACCTAGAGGCTGGCGTTCCTGCTACTTTTGAAAAACGTAAATGAACTGTTCCTTGACCAAAACAACAGTTCTTAAGAACTGTTGAAAAAAAATAGTTCATAGAACAACGATTAATGGCGTAATACTTATTCGTTTAATAACAAGTAATACTTAATATTATATGAAACTACTCGTTGTATGTCTGTTTGATAATATTATTTAAAAAACAGGTTAATATCAGATTTTACTTTGATTGATACAATTTTTTTCTTTTCCAACCTTGGGTCTTCCAACTTTTTCATTATCCTGCTTTCATCATGGCCAAGATATTACGAAAATAACCGACACATACTGTATCCAAAATTTAATTTTAAACGTAATATAATATTGAATAATAAATTAATGAAAAACCTATTATAAAAAAAAATAAGGTGTGTGTTTTAGACCACATGACAGAACACATCAAGACAAATTTAATAATATGAAATATATATTAAAACTAATAGCTTATTACAAAGAGAATGAAATGCTGAACAATTTACTCGTTTACGGTATGCAGGTCCGATTTTTAGTTTCTGAGATATTTTAATCCTTATATTCAATAAAGCTGGTTATAATTTCGTTTTCGAAACTATATTTTCTCTTTTCGCCTCTCTAACACGGCGTCGCGTTATGATACAATTTTGAATGATAGACCATTACAGAGAGGATGGAATGTTGAATAATTCATTCGCTTACAGTATGCAGGTCCGATTTTTAGTTTTTGAGATATTTTAATCCATATGCAAAACACTTCAATTATTCGACTCCAGGCTCAATCTAATTCATCCTCCACTAAAAAGTGGAAACGCGCCTATAGAACTTTTAACTTCAAAAACATGAAATGAAAATAAACTTGATTGTCTCAGCAATATATCATAATAAAATTATGATTTGCTCACTATACAGCAAAACAATGCTAGTTGATGTTTATGAAATTTCAAGACATTTATGCTGAAGACAGCAGAGTGTTTAAATGAACTTAATTAGTTGTGCATGTCGTGGTTCTTATACAACAGAAACCTTCCAACGGTCTAGCAGTCTGAAACCTGAGGTAGGTCAACTTACAATTGTTTCTTGCTTTTAACTACTGCTTCTAATAACTTATTCTTTTTTAAATATCTTATATCAAAAGAAAAACATTTCCTATATATTTTTTAAAATTTATTTTTAGTAGAAATTTTTTCTCACTTGTTTCTAGACCCGCGCCTCTCAATAATATAATAAAAAAATATATTTACAATAATATCAATCAGTGGTATAAAATATCAGTATACAAAGTTAATTCTTCTGAAGTTCATTTTGCTAACTTATTTACTAAGAAATATACGCTTTTAGTTTATTCCATTAAATTGCAAAGACAAATTATTTACGTGAAAGAAGATTTTAAGAACTGCATTGATTATTTTGTAGTATAAAATATGAGACTTTGTTTCGTATAAACGATTTTTCTCAAGAAAATGATGCACCTCATTTAACTTAAATTAAAAAAAAAAATTCTAATGATGTTTTATATAACCAACATAATTTTGTATGGACAAAGTTTCAAAAAATTACCTGATATTTATTTGACACATACAACTATCCTAAATATTTATCGAAGATTCGTCTGACTTCATAATCCTAATCTTAGTATTACTGATTTAATCATTAATTTATACTGTCGAAAATAAATAATTAATATATCATAAGCATAGTATTCGTAATAAAATTAATCGGGAATAAACACATATATAATTGTAACATACCGCGTATATGTAATGGTTATTTCATAAATGTATTTATTTATGAAATAATTGTTAGTAAAGCGAAAATAAACAAAAATATTATGTCAAATAATATATTTTTTCCCATGTTTACCCCTCCTCCTATCTTAGGTTTGAGGAAAATTTATTAATAATTAGCTTTTTATTAACTCAATCTTTAAAACACAGTGCTTGAATTGTTTTGCTCAAACTGATTTATATTTTGCTAAGTATCTCCGAATGTAGTTTAATTAATTTTATAAGGAATTATAATTTTATGTAGCTTCAGATGGAAATTATTTCCTTAAAATCTGCCTTGCTTGTAGTTATTTTTACTGTGTGGACATCTTACCCCGTCAGCAAATTGTCCTGGATGAATCGACTTTTCTTTGCTAAAACTGGAACGACAACGATACCATCAGCAGAGGCCTTCAGTTTTTTAACCATTGTACATTGTATAAATTATTTAGAACGACTTAAAATTACAACAAATAAACAATGAAATGGCTAAAACATTTATAATATAATATTTTACATATTTTGGTATCCTTATATTCTTATATTAATGTAATAAACATAACGTTATGTATAAACCAATTTTTTTTTTTATTTTAAGGAAACAAATATACATATTTTTAAACAATAAAAATTTATTATCATAATATTTTAACCAATTATATAACTAAATTTTGTGTTATGCAATTGATTTTTATTATATAAATGCCTCATATTAAACAAATTTATAGAATAAATATAAATTCATACTATACTATAATAAGAAAAATATTTTCATTCAAACGTACAAAGTTTGTTTTCATACATTATTAATTAGAGTGCTTTATTTAATTAAATGATTAATTAATTTTGTGAAATTGTTTTTATATTTAACACATCTTAAATAAATATATTGTATTGCTATTATATAAATTTTTGTCGGAATATTTTAATCAAATATATCATAATATTGATAATGAACGATTTGACAGCAAAATAAAGAGAAAGCTGAAGATTAGTAGGGTTGATAACGTTATAACATTTGAAAGATTGACCGAGTAATTATGATTGTTGTGCAATCAAATTTTTGGTAGAGTTTGAGATAACACAATTTATTTAATTTTATATATTTGATTCGAATTGGAAAATAAAATTGTAGAATAGAGTTGATATTTCACTTTGGTATAAGATAAACATATCTTTTGTTATGATTGAATGTACTATCGTCTGTAATGTACTATGTACAATTAATCATTTCGCGTAGGAATTAATCAACGTAAATTAATTGTTATAGCTAAATATATATATAGTTTGATTGAAAAAAACAAAATAATAAGGAGACTATTCGAATATAAAAACGGTATGTACATATAAAATATTTACGTTTTGATTATTTGTATTAAATATTCCATGATAAAAGCTTAATAGTTTTAATATAGCTTAATAATTTATTCATGTATTTCAATAGTTATTTACGAACAAAATGTTCCTAAATTAGTTTAATAATTTTTACAAAAATGAGATGAGGATGAGACGGAAGAAGTTTCTATTCAAATTCCCAACAAAAAGATCACTTGTTGACAGGGCGTATTAAATTGGACATCATATTTGTCAACAAAATGTCTTAACTCTAGACGTTGAACTATTAAGGCACAAATAATTTAAGATATTCCCATTGCAAATTTTAGTCATTACAAATCTGTCATCGAACAAAATAACAAATCGAATTTGAAGAATAAAGGTAGCAAAAATTACCATTGAGGCATATGAATAAGGCGCACTTGAAAAATTGATGAGTAATATATAATATAATGTAATATATAGTATTTTATTTTATTATTACTTACAGAATAAACATATTTGCGAGATAGAATCGTGTTGCAGGCTGGACATTTAATAATACCCCGACATTAAACTACCGGCACATGGTCCCGCTTCAACTCTGCCCGCAAGGCCTTTATCGTATCCCCCACCATCTTTGTTTATCGATCTAATAGTTGCGCATAAATATCTTATCGATATTCAAATATCGATTTCCGAATGTAATTGCTATTACAGAGAAAAATATATTAAAAAATTTTCAATATGAAATTAACGTATTTATTATTGTTCAAAAATATAATTCTCTAAATTTAACTCAATATTTCTCATACAGTGTGTTTGATTTAGTATATTGGGTTTAGTGCATTAACAATATTCATATCTAATTGTTCAAACAATTACAATGTATCCCGTAAGGCGGGTTTCTACTTTATGGTCCAAGTTTCGGATGTGAAAAAAGAAAGATAAACAATTTTTATTAATCAAAGCTTAATCAGAGGACAGATTAATCTATTTGAGTAAAGCCGAATTTTCCAATTCCTACCCAGTTGAAGCCGGTGTTCCTGTAGGTAGCGTCTTGGGCCCCGTCCTTTATATCCTTTTTACCGCCAATATCCCTGTCCATCCCGATACCTTCCTGGCAACATTTGCTGAAGACACCATCATCCAACTCAGATTCCGAAATAGCATCTTTAAATCTGCAAAGACACCTCTCCCTGATTGAGCACTGGTGTAATAAATGGCGCAAAACTAATCCAAATGTAAACACATTACCTTCACACTCAGGCGCAGTTCCTGTCCATCAGTCCAATTTAATTCCATCCAGCTTCCTTTTTCAGACACAGTTCGGTATCTTGGTTTTACCTTAGACCGAAGAATAACATGGAACCCACATACTAGACTTAAAAGACAGGAACTTAACCGACGATATGGCCAACTATACAGACTACTAAATACTAAATCTAAACTTTCAATTGACAAAAAATTACTGATCTACAAGACAATCCTTTCCTAATTCCGATTTCCTAGAGAATCGCTAAGAAATTTATGTTTTGTGTTTTTGAAGTGTCACGTTTATTGTTGGATAGAAAGCAATAATTAAATAAATATTTATTCTAGTCAATGAAAAATTATTACACAGCACTAGTGGATCTAGAATTTAATTTTTTTTTTTGGGTGGACGATGGGTGCCTCAGCCCGAAAGTGTTTTTAAAAATGTATAAAGGAAAAGGAAAGAAACTAACTACCTATATGAAATGTTGTTTAAGTGATTCGTGAAGTCCTATTAGATGTAATTACACGAACAATAATACTTTTAGAGATAATTTTTTAATGTTTTTTCAAAGAACATCGTTATATTTTACTATTTTGGGGTGGCAGAGGATTCAGCCCGAAAGTTACATTGTTGTTACATTGTACATTGTAAACAAGACAAAATTGTCTTCAAATTGGAATAGAGTTTGAATTTGTTAAAATTGCATAAAGGGACTTTTAAGCAGCTAAACTGCATTAAGTTCTGTTTTTCATAAAATGACGGATTATTCGCGATTTTTTTTTTCACCTGTAGTTGTGAAAAATAATGTGATTTGATATCCTGTCACCGAAAAGTACCTCTATTTCCAACAAAAATCACTAGAATAAATTATTGCTAAGCTTTAATTTCTTTCCTTTTTTTAAATTACCTAGGATGTATTAAAACAAATATCAAATAAAGTTTTTATTTATAAAAGAAATGTTTAAAAATACTGCTTTTCCAAATATATATCTTATGAAATGATAATACACCCGATTTTTTTTTTTATATAACTCTGTTAAAGAAACTGATTCTAATTGACTCAAGGTACCAAATACATGTTTCTAATCCTAATATTTACGGTTTCATGAAAATAAATCATTCAATGACAACATTTTCTTGAAATAGAAGTAGAGTTTGTATTTGTTAAAATCATTTAAAGGGGACTTTTGAGCAGCTAAACCAAGCTAATTTCTTTTTTTGATAAAATGAATTTTTTTTGTCATCCTGCGATTGGAATACAGATACTTCACTTCTAGAAAATTCCAAAACTAGAAAATAATCTTTATTTTTTATTTGTTGACCTGCGATATATTTATTATAATCAACATTAATCGAAAAATTAAGTTTTTATCTATACAAAAAATGTTAAAAATACTGCTTTTCCAAATATTTATCTTCTAAAATGATAATGATTTGATATACTTTTACCCAAAAGTATCTTCTATGCTTTTAGAAAAAACAGCTTGGATAAATTAGTACAATGCTTTAATTTCTTCTTTTCTTTTTTTTTTTTTTTTACGACCTGGGGTGTACTGCAATAAATTAGTTGAAATACATAATAAAATGAACTTGTTATTTACTATGAACTATTAATAATGTTTATTTCCATAATTTATCTTCTGTGATATGAAACAGATTTTTTAAAAATAAATTTCTATTACCCATAATAAATTCTAAATCGATCATTGTAGTATTAAGTGACCAATGAAATGTATCTAATATTAACTTTATTGAAATAATTAAAATAGTAGAGTATCAGTTTTCAGAAATGTTAAAAAGTTGCTTATTTACCAATGAATATTTTGAAATAAAATATTTCATTTCTTGTAAATGTTGCTTATCCAGAAAAAAAAGCTTGGGCCAAAGAGATTGAGTTTTTCTTGAATTTTCAAATGTTAAAGAATTTCATTTCCAACTGAATATCAATATTAATTTTAGATTTTAGCTCATTATTATAAATTAAGGTTGTTTGTTTTTTAAAGTAATTAACCCGCCAATAACTTGAATTATTTTCACGAAACCGTAAATGTTAGGATTAGAAACATATATTTGGTCCCTTGAGAAAATTAGAATCAATTTCCTTAACAGAGATCTATTAAAAAAAATATCGGGTGTATTATCATTTTATAAGATATATATTTGGAGAAGCAGTATTTTTAAACATTTTTTTTTTAAATAAAAACTTTATTTGTGAACTGATATTTATTTTAATACATCTTAGATCACATAAAAAAATAAATTAAAGCTTTGCAATAATTTATTCTAGTGATTTTTGCTGAAAATAGAGGTACTTTTCGGTGACATTATATCAAATCACATTATTTTAAACAACTTTTTTTTTAATTGAATACTTATTTATTCAGAATTAATAAAATCTGTCACAATTAAGGACACTATTAATAGTTTTAAGAGAACACATTCACACTCTATTTACAATAAATAAAAATAAATAATACAGAAAATTAATAATAGTAAAAGTAAATCTATATAAACAAAAGAACTAAACTAATAAAAATAACATTTTACACAACTAGAGATGAGAAACATCGCGAATAATCCGTCATTTTATGGAAAACAGAACGGGATAGTTTAGATACTTAAAAGTTCCCTTTAAATTATCTTAACAAAGACAAACTCTACTTCTTTTTAAATTAAATTTTGTCTAATTGACTGTGAAATGCTTCTTAAATATGTAAATTAAACATTTATTCAATTATTGCTTATTATACAACAACAAAAGTGGCTTACCTAAAAAAAATACACGCAACACGAAATTCTTACATTTCTCTGGAAAATCGGACTATAACTTATATGAACCTCTCATAGCCTCTTATGTTCTATTAATATCTCTTTAAATATTTCTCTTTACTTACTAAACATCATATACATCTTTGATAATTAGAACTGATGAGGATTCTGGTGTATTCTTAAAGATTAATGTTAAGGCACTAATAAAATTATGAAATAAATAATTCAAAAAAATATTGAAGGGAAAATACATTTATATAGAAAAATAAATTGCATTTATTTTCCTGGACGTTGAATTGAAACGAAAAACATCGACGACATAGAGGTAGTATTGTTTTAAATATTTGGTTAAAAACGGAGGCGAGAAATGTGCGTGTCTCTTAATTTCCAAGATTCTAAATTTAATTTGATAATAACACCTAGTTTTAAATATAATAAAAGTGTAATGGCATCCTTGTAGATTTTATAATTATAATTTTTTTATGAAAAAAAAAAAATCAAAAAAGGAGGTGATTAAAACTGGATTTGTAAAAATATTTCTAAGAATGTAATTTGAGATTGAATTGTTTTTACTTTGAAGACTTCTTCTTATTCAATTTAGTTTCATTTTTATATATTGATATTAATGGTTTTAAACAGACATTCACATTTCTATCCATTTTTTTTTTAATGTGGCGTTTCCATTAGGTATACAATAAACGTTTTCCATTATCAAACATTTAAATTTTAAATTTTATCACTATATCTCGTACATCAATAAATGGGTAGACGAATGAAGGCATGTTATTAAAATTCTTCTTCCAAGTATATGAAATTTTAATATAATATTTGTCTAAGGAGAGGTACGAACTATCGATAGTCAATATGACTATCGATATGACTATAGACAGTTTTAAACTATCGATATATCGATTGTAATATCGACTATCGCCCATTTGTTACTACAACTGTAGGTAATAAATTAATACATACAGACACACACACCCAAGGATAATGGCTGATCCTAGCAATTATTGAGGAGGAAAAAGAAACGATATTCGAGTCGAATATATGTAACCAAGTGTTATCGTTTTTGTATAAAAAATAAAAAATAAATATAATTCGATAACGAGTATTCCATTATCTTATTTGTTTATTTACTTTTAAATGATTTCCCTTTTCTATATTAAAATAAAAATAAAAATTAAAGGATAAGGAAATGATAGAAAAAAAAAATGGCTAAATCCCTTTTTTCACATGGAGTTTGATAAAGAATCATCATTAGATAATTGTTTCAATCCATTCTCACAGTTTTTGAGAAATTTTTAAGAACCATCCCAAGAAGAGAGAATTGATCAATTTTTCAAAACTTGCCATCACCAGACCATGTTAAACATATCGTCGATCAATCATGACTTATGAAATCCTAATATTTTACCATCATTATTTATGAAATGGTAAAAATAAATAGCCGCATTAATGGTACTGAGCCAGCGGTGGCAAAGTAAGTAGAATATCCAGCCTTTAACACCATTTACGTAATTCATTTTATTTTAAATTTCTTATCCACTCGATTTCGCCTCTGAAACCATGAAACTGCCTTTTAAACAGGTGAATCCTAG